TAGTGGATATAAAAGACCATTTTATACAAATAAGAACATGATACATGGTTTTACTACAAAGATCCAACATTGATAGAGAAAAAAACTAATTTATCCCAACTGTCCCTTTTCAGTTTTTATTAAATATTCTTTGAAGAAAGTATATTGGGAATTTAAATAGGCATTTATAACAACTAACATTTTCTGAATGCTTGGATAAGTGCCAGATTCTGTTCTAAGCACTTTATATTGATTATCTCCTGAGTAAATACAACTATCCCCAATTTATAGATGATAAACAGAAGGCAGAAACAGGTTAAGTTTTTCACCCAAAGTAACAGAAAATGATGACTGATATGGTTTGGCTGTGTCCCCACCCAAATATCATCTTGAATTGTAGCTCCCATAATTCTCATGTGTTGTGGGAGGGACCCAATGGGAGACAACTGTATCGTGGGGGTGGTTTCTCCCATACTGTTCTCATTATAGTGAATGTCTCGAGATCTGATGGTTTTATAAGGGGAAACACCTTTTGCTTGGCTCTCAATTCTCTTGTCTGCTGCTATGTAAGATGTGCCTTTCACCTGCCATGATTGTGAGGCCTCCTCAGCCACGTGGAACTCTAAGTCCATTAAAATAATTTCTCTTCCCAGTCTTGAGTATGTGTTTATCAGCAGTGTGAAAACAGACTAATACAGTAAATTGGTACCAGTAGAGTAGGGTGCTGCTGAAAAGATACACAAAAATCTGGAAGTGACTTTGAAACTGGGTAACAGGGAGAGGTTGGAACAGTTTCGAGGGCTGAGAAGAAGACAGGAAGATGTGGAAAAGTTTGGAACTTCCTTGAGACTTATTGAATGACTTTGACAAAAATGCTGATAATGATATAGACAATGAAATCCAGGCTGGGGTGGTCTCAGATGGAGATGAGGAACTTGTTGGGAACTGATGTAAAGGTGACTCTTGCTATGTTTTAGCAAACAGACTGGTAGTATTTTGCCCCTGCCCTAGAGATCTGTGGAACTTTGAACTTGAGGGAGATGATTTAGGGTATCTGGTAGAAGAAATTTCTAAGCAGCAAAGCATTCAAGAGGTGACTTTCACTTTTAAAAAGGAAACAGATATAAAAGTTCAGAAAATTTGCAGACCAATGATACCATAGAAAAGAAAATCTCATTTTCTGAGAAGAAATTCCAGCTGGCTACAGAAATTTGCATAATTAATGAGCCAAATGTTAATTGCCAGAACAGTAGGGAAAATGTCTCCAGGGCATGTCAGAGACCTTTATGCCAGCCCCTCTTATCACAGGCCTGGAGGCCTAGGAGGAAAAAAATGGTTCCATGAGCTAGGCCCAGAGCCCCTCTGCTGTGTGCAGCCTAGGGACTTGGTGCTCTGTATCCCAGTTGTTCTAGCCATGGCTAAAAGGGGCCAAACGTATAGCTCAGGTCATGGCTTCAGAGGGTGCAAGCCTCAAGCCTTGGCAGCTTCCATGTGGTATTGAGCCTGCCAGTGCATAGAAGTCAAGAATTGAGGTTTGAGAACCTCTGCCTAGATTTCAGATGACATATGGAAATGCCTAGATGTCCAGGCAGAAATTTGCTGCAAGGGCAAGGCCTTCCTGGAGAGCCTCTGCTAGGGCAGTGCAGGAAGGAAACATGGGGTTGAAGTCCCCACACAGAGCAAAGTCCCCACTGGGGCACTGCCTAGTAGAGCTGTGAGAAGAGGGCCACCATTTTCCAGACCCCAGAATGGTAGATCCATTGACAGCTTGCACCGTGCATCTGGAAAAGCCACAGGCATTCAATGCCAGCCCGTGAAAGCAACCAGGAGGGAGGGTGTACCCCGTAAAGCCACAGGGTTGGAGCTGCCCAAGTCCATAGGAACGCACCTCTTACTTCAGTGTAACCTGGATGTGAGATACGGAGTCAAAGGAGATCCTTTTGGAGCTTTAAGATTTGACTGTCCTGCTGGATTCTGGGCTTGCATGAGGCCTGTAATCTCTTCATTTTGGCCAATTTCTATTTACCCAGTGTCTGTACCCCTGTTGTATCTAGGAAGTAACTAACTTGCTTTTGATTTTACAGGCTTATAGGTGGAAGGGACTTTACTTGTCTCAGATGAGGCTTTGGACTGTGGACTTTTGAGTTAATCCTGAAATGATTTAAGACTTTGGGGGACTGTGGGGAAGGCATGATTGGTTTTGAAATGTGATTTGGGAGGGGCCAGGGGCAGAATGATATGGGTTGACTGTGTCCCCAACCAAATCTCATTTTGAGTTGTAGCTCCCATAATTTACATGTGTTGTGGGAATGACCTGGTGGGAGATAATTGAATCATGGGGGTGGTTTCCCCCATACTTTTCTCATCATAGTGAATGATGAGATCTGATGGTTTTATAAGGGGTAATCCTTTTTGCTTGGTTCTCAATTCTGTCTTGTCTGCTGCCATGTAAGATGTGACTTTTACCTTCACCATGGTTGTGAGGCCCAGCCATGTGGAACCGTGAGTCCACTAAACCTCTTTCTTTTTTAAAAAAAAAAAAAAATCAGCAGCATGAAAACAGACGAATACAATGGAGTTTGAATTTATACTGAGGTAGCCTATTGGAAAGTGGGAGAGCTATGACAAAACCTTAAAAGACAGTTGGTGGTTTGGGAATAGAAATACAACAAGAAAAGTAGCTACAATGACAGCTGATGGCATTTTGTTGGTCTGCCTCTAACATTTAGTCCTCGCGACACAATTAAGACCTTGCATTGATTTAAGACCTGAGAGGCCCTAAGCATGGAAAAATTGGAGTTGCCTGTCTCTGCCCTCACCTGTCATATGCAGTTTAAATTAAAGCAATAAAAAATAAAATAAATTTTTGAAATTTCAATAAAGTTTTATTTTTTCCTATGATGAATATATTAATGCTTTTTGAAACATTGAATATTGAATTTTAAAAATATTTTATCATGTTTAGCTTGTTTATTGGATATTCAGTACTAATAACTCAGAGTTTCTTCATGTTCCTGCAAACTTATGGCTATGGAATTTATGATCTTGACCTTGGCTGTGGAATGAAGAGTTCATGACTCTTCATTCATGACTCTTCAATCATGACTTTGGATTGGTAAACTTGGTTCACTCATCTAACCTTGGTTGGACAGCCTCATTTAGGTCTTTCATGTTCATTTTGATCTAGGGCAAACACCAGCAGACTTTTTCTGTAAAGGGCCAGTTAGTAAATACCTCAGGTTTTGTGAATCTTGGGGTCTCTGCTGCAGCCACTCAATTCTGCCACTGTAGTTCAAAGCAGTTATTGACAATATATGAATAAATTGATATAGCTGTGTTGAATAATATTTTATTTACAAAAACAAGCAGCAGGCAAGATTTGGCCTGCGAGCCACAGTATGCCAACCTCTGATCAAGGGTCCTGTTTTCTGTGTATACTTCCTTAACCATCAATTCTTCATGCTTTCAATGCAGTGTTTTGCCTACAATTATATTATATTGCTGCCAAATAGGTGATGATTCACTTTTGGCCTTATGATCCAGAAGACCTGGTTTCCCTAGAAGTGGTTACCCCATCATTTATGCTAAATAAACAACTCTTTATAAAAATGGAAAAAATACAATAAATGCTCCAGATAGATTTATAAATTACACCATTAATAAAGATACATCATAATTAAAGGAAGTATTTCTGGAGAATGTTGCCTAGAGGAAATGCTTGCAATCATGCCACTAGTAAGTGACAGATGCAAGAGTAGAGCAGAGCTCCTGAGCCTCAGTCTGGTACGTTTTACTATACCCTTTTACCTCTTTCCTCCAATCCTGCTTACCCTGTTTTTTGAATAAAACAATTCTCATCTACTCTATGTCTCTGAATTTAATGTTAAAGGGCTCTGATATCTATGCTCTTTTAGGTAAAGGTTCTCTTCACCTGGTTGTGGCTAAAAAGAGGAACCAATGATTGAGTGACAAAGTCCAGTGGCTATTTCTTAACTCTCACTCTCCTTGACCAACATACTTCATTTGACCTTTTCTTTTTTATTTTATTTTATTATTATACTTTATGTTCTAGGGTACATGTACACAATGTGCAGGTTTGTTATATATGTATACATGTGCCATGTTGGTGTGCTGCACCCATTAACTTGTCATTTACATTAGGTGTATCTCCTAATGCTATATTCCCCTTCCCCTCACCCCACAAAATAGGACCCAGTCGTGTGTGCTTCCCCTTCTCGTGTCCAAGTGGATCTCATTGTTCCCATATCCCCACCTATGCTGGAGAACATCGCGGTTCTTTGTTTATCTGGTTTTGCAAACAGTTTGCTAGAAATGGTGGGTTTCCAGCCTGCGCTCCATGTCCTACAAGGACATCGAACTCACATCTTTTTATGGCTGCATATGTATTCCAGTGTATATATGCTGTCACTTTTCTTAATCCCGTCCTGTCCACTTGATGGCTTTGGGTTGATTCCAGTCTTTGCTATTGTGATTATGGTGCCGCAATAACTACGTGTAACCTGTGTCTTTATAGTACATGACTTATAATCCTTTGGAAAATACCTCAGGTATGGATGGCTGGGGTCAAATGGCTATTTCTTAGTTCTAGATCCATTGAGGAATTGCCACACTGGTTTCCATACATGGCATTGCAAAGTAGTTTACAAGTCCCACAAAGTGGTAGAAGTGTTTCTTTCCTCCCACATCCTCTCCGCACTGTTGTTTCCTGACTTTTAATGCAATTGCCCATTCTAACTGCTGTGAGATGTATCTTATTGTGGTTTTCCTTGATTTGCCACAACCTTTTCTTTTTCAAAGACATATTTTCTTTCTGAATTTCCTTCCCTTATGGTTTCCCAAGCATTGTCTCTCAAGTTCTTTTTCCTCTCACAGTT